GGAGCATCACACCCATCCTTTTAGTGTTCTTTTAAAATTAATCATCATCTAGGCAAAATCATGAAGATGCTCTCCTGTGTTTTCCTCTAAAAGCATTATTGTATTAGCCTTAATATCTAAATCTGTAATCTGTAGGGAATTTATTTACCTATTTGTGGTTGAACACCAATCATTGGAATGACTACTCTTTTGCCCACTATCCTGCAGTATCAGCTTAGACATAAAGCTGCTGATCTTACATACACAGGTCTTTTCAACTCAATTCTGCTCCATTTGTCAGTCTTTTAGACCATATCGCAGTATGTTACTTATTGTGACTTTGAGTCTTAATCTCTCTCGTCATATACACTTTCCAGGCTTACTGTTTTTCAATATTTCACTGGACTACTTTTAACTCTTATATTCCCATTTGGAGTTTAGAACCAATCTGGTATTTTCCATGCACAAAAATGTAATAATAATCATTAAAATTTTTTACTGGATTTGCGCTCAATCAATAGACAAATTTGAATCAGCTTGACTTCTTTACATTATTGAGTCTGTTGTGAATATGTTGTATGCCACCATTTCCTCAGGGCTTCTTGAATTTCTCAATAAAACTTTTATGATTTTTAACTGTAGTGAGCTTACAAAATTTAGTTGGATTTATTTAATCTAATATGCATAATGTTATTTGAAACTGTAGTTTTTAATGCATTTCTACATTTTTTGTTCTTATATAGAAATACAGCTTTTTATTAAACATTGCTAAACAACCTTACTACAATTAACTATTTATTTTGATATTTGGGAATTCCTTTATTTCTTATGGGCACAACCATATCATCTATAAATAATGATGAGCATTCCTTTATGATCGATATTATTTCCTTGGTGAAAATTTTGGAAGTATTCCATGGTAAGGCCAAATACGAGGAGGCTTTTATGAGAGAATCTTGATCTGAAACACACCCACACCCACCCATAAGCATCCCATTTGGTTTTGTTGAACTCACTCCATAAATTTTAACTATGAACTTATCCTTCTCTGAGATACACAAGAAAACAAACAACCAAAAGAAAATTCTTGCTTAATTCTCAGTCAGTGCTTCTCACATAATTTCCATAGCAGTACATCTACTCATTTGAAAGCTCATTGTTCACCTTATCCATTTTATAAATGTTTTTTATTTTCCTCCCCAAACAGCTATATTTATTTTCCTATGAAAATAAAGATTCAAATAACTATCATCAAGTATCAGTGAGACCTTTGGGAGAGATGTAATCTTTGTATCCAGTGCCTTTGTGCTGCTGGTATACATCACACGCCCCTTAGGTACCATCTTCTACCTTTGAGATGCATAGCTAACATGGCGTTCATACTACACCACCGATTCCTGCTTTTTATCGGTTCTCTTCCTTGGTATCCATAAAGTAAGGTGGCTGTATACATGCCAAAGGGAGGCCTACTGATCACTAATGGGAACCTCAGGCCTACTTAGTGCTGACAAGCACATCTGAGACCCAGGGGCTTAAATGGAAAGGGTGCTGTGAACTTCTGAAGTACATCAATTGCCAGAGAAAACCTGAATCCTTGAAAGTCAATATAATACTCGCTGTTTACATCATTGTGGGGGAAGAAAAAGAGAATAAAACAAAACAAATAACAACAACAAAAAACAAGCTCAACCACGGAACATCCATTTTATCAAAAGAAAACCCTTGGGAGACTGATCTACACAAGTCAGCAAAGTGAATATATTAAACTGTATTTGATTTGTGATCATTTATTTATATTCAAGACATTCTTCATTTCAAACTTTTGCTCCTTTGATGCAAGGGACTTTGGCAGCTCACAGTGAACTGTAATTTTCCTTCGATTGGGAGAAAAGGCTATTTAATGCCATAGGTCAAGACATGAGGAGGAGAGGCTGGTCTGCAGAGATCAAGAGTTAGAACCTTGGTACTTCATCCAAGCTAAGTCTATCCTCGAACTTAATTTCATATGAAGCATCTCTTTTTTTGATGTATCCTAATTTTCAATATTCAGATAGAATTTTTTTATATAAAAACATTATTTGTGTGTGTGTGTGTGTGTGTGTGTGTGTGTGTGTGGCGGCAGGGTTGGACTACTGTAAATTATTCATTAACCTCAGTCCATTACTACAGAGCATTCACTTCTGACAGAATTGGCTTTCATTTTTGAGCAAATCGCTTGTACTCAAAATTCTACACTTGATTTGTCCCATCAAAGTCAGAGTACCCGACAACTGGATACAGCTTAAAGCCAAGTTCTCTCTGGTAAACAGAACAAAATTTCAAAATATGTACATAATTAAATACATTCCAACTTATTTTTAGTTATAGTCTTGAAAATAAAAACTGGTGGATGTTTTGATAAAATGGGCTCAAGTCTCTTAATACAAAGCCTTATGTAATATAAATCTAGTTTAAAAATATTCATCCTTCTAAGAAATCTCTCAACTGTCGCCATAAAAACCACGTCTAATTTTGACCTGCGCTGTTTCTCAAACTATAGAGGTGAAGGGTGAACACTTGGAAGTTTATCATCAGGGTGGATTGCCTTCTACTCTCTTCCTAAACCATCAATCCAATAATAAAACACACTTTCAAACACATTTTGCCTACACAAAAAATAAAACTTGCCAGGCATGGTAGTGTATACCTATAATCCTAGTGACTTGAGAAGCTGAGGAAGTATGATTCCAAGGTCAAGGCCAGTCTGGTCAACTTAGCAACACCCTGTCTCAAAATAAAATAAAATAAAATAAAAGACTGAAGATATGGCTCAGAGATTGACTGTCCCTGGGTTCAATCCCCAGGACCTATAAATAAATAAGTAAAATGATACCTTAAATGATGCAAAAGTTGAATGCAAACAGAAGTAAATTATATCTTCATAAATTTTAACATGACAAAGAATTAATTCAAATATTTTCTGATCCTGTACCTTAACTAGGATAAAAGAACTGCCAAGAATTCTTGATCTCTACTGGTTAGGATTCATGTTGTGGTAGGGTAAACAGAAGTTACTCTGCATATTATGGGACAGAACAAATGAGTAAATACACTGATGTTACTGGTTTTCAGAGCTGGGTTGTGAGGTGGAAAGACAAAGGAAGCAAATGTGGCTAAACATCAACAAGAGGCAAATATAGAGAAGGGTATATAATTACTCATTGTAGAACTATTTCAGCTTTTCCATTGGTCTGAAATTTTTCTACTGGGAAAGGCAGATAAAACAGACCCAAGGACTGAAATTCTGATTTCCTACCTATTGTTCCAAATTAGGATTCCATCCATGACTCTCTAACGCCAAAATTGGTTTCTAACCATAACTAACCAAGAAAAGTATGAAATATTTTGGGCACTTAAAATGCCAAGTATTTTAGCCACCAGTGTTTAAATCATTAGCTAAATCTCATCTGACTCAGTGAGGAGTTATTCTCTGGTCCCAGTTCTCCACACAGGGAACTATATGAGAATCCTATCTTCACCATCTCCCAACAGTCCTGAGATGTGGGCCAACTCTTCACAGTGCTACTGTATTGCCACATCCCAATCCCAAGGAGACTCCCCTGGCCTCTACCTGCTTCTGCTTCCCCAACTCCACCCCATCCCATTATTCCCAATTTATGCTAGTAATATAAACTATAATTGATGTCCCCTCTACCTTACTGTAATTTTTCAACATCATTTTTTAAAAGAACATACTCTATGTCCAAAGTTTCACATTCTCATTTTATGGAATTATCCTCATGGTTTCTTCATAATAAACATGCACTAAAGAACAGCCAACCCCTCATGAATTACACTTTGTGCCTTTTTTCTTAGTCATTGTCCACTTGTATTTAGAGGACTATACACATAGCAACCTGGTAATTATTGCATTCCTACTACAACAGTCGTGCTTTGTCAAGCCTGGTCTCAAAAGATACTTCATTTCCTGATTTGATTACATATTTGAAGTGTGTTATAATGCTTTGTGGTGCAATTTGGGTGTATGTACCCAGTCAAAGACTTCCACGGTACTTCCCGATCCATGTATGATTGGCATGACTGCAGATTCACAGAGTTGCCAAGGACACCATTAACACCTGGGTAAACCATGCTCCCAGAGCTTGCCTGCAACTTACAAAGCCCATTATCACATGGTCATCAAGCCTTGGTCCAGCAGGCAGAGGACACAAGTTAGCCCAAAATGCTCCCACACAGAGTACCAGAAGCATACACCATGTGTCTGACATCTAGAAAACCCAGTCTCTCTTGTCACACACAACAATCAGATCCTGAAGATGGCAGCTGTGATTCCTGATTCTGCTCTCTTCCAAGGTACTCTCTTCTCCTTGCCAAATCTCCCTCTTGAGCCATACTTCTCACCCATTCTGGCTCTCATTTTATTCCCTCGTGGAGAATGATGCCCAGTGACTCAGGTCCAGAGTCCTAGTTATTCAGAAAAAGAAATCCCTGTCCATGGTAATTCAGCACTAAGGGCATCTTGCCATTTCTTTTCATGAAGCAGGCATGGCTTCTGATCAACCACTGGCTCTTCCTGAGAACCGGGGTCTCTCTCCCTGCCTAATTTGCTTATGAAAAATATTCAATTATGTTCCAAGTTTAATTCACTTAGTAATGAAAAGTAAATGAGCTCAACCAGCATGTTTGATTTGTCTTGGAAAGAAAGAAACAGCTTTGCAAGAACAAACAAAGCTAAATTAAAATAAGTGACTCTCCTTGATAGTGGAAATTTAATTTCTTCCCTAAGAATTTCTTAATATCCATAAAAATGGGGCTGTCACCAATAAGACAGGGAATGCCTGATACACAGCAAGTCCCAACCATACCCTGTGACCTGAAGGTCACATACACATGCTTGTGCATGCGTGGACACTTCTATTTAAGCTCAGATATCCATACACGTTCCTTCTACCATGAAGTAGAGAGTAGAATGCATGGTGGACTCAGAGGTGCACCCTGTCACCGACGGGCATTCCACATACCATTTTTGCAGATGGGACAGCACTGGTCAGGCTCATACACGGGGTCCACACACTCTGTCTGGGGACAAGCCGACACTGTGCAGAGCACTTCACCGTTGGCTTCACAGCGGCACCTCTCACATGGAGACACCTGAAACACAAGTCCACCGGTCAGATCATATCTCCCTCAAGCTGTGCTTTACAAGGTCATATTTTTATTCTCCTAAACTTTCTGTAAAGACATCAGACATCAAATGTTTTGGGGAAAAAAAATATATATATATATTTAAAATAAAAATTTAAAAAATATATATATATTTAATACCAGGTATTGAACCCAGGGGGACTTACCCACTGAGCCACATCCCCAGCCCTTTTTATGTTTTATTTTGAGACAGGGTTTCACTAAGTTGCTGAGGCTGGCTTTGAACTCATGATCCCCCTGCCTCAGTCTCCCAAATCACTATGATCACAGGCCTGTGCCACTGCGCCTGGCTGTTTTAGGAATATTAAAAAAAAAATTGACATGTCCAGCAGTTTTCCAAGTGTGGACATAGACACCTTGGGTGTTTAGCAGGTCACTGTATGTACACATCCATTCACTGGGGACACATGGCTCTCACATCCAACGAGAGAGAGCATCTAAAGTGCTTAGTCATCTAATGACTGGGCTTCTTTATTAGCCTCCTTTTGAAAAAATGCTTTTGCTTTTTTGAAAGATTGATCAAATAATAAATTGCTACTGATTTCTGGCCCAGCCATTCATCATGAATAATCCCTCTTCTGTAGCCCTGGCAAGTCACTGCCCAACCTAGCATGGAGCATTTCTAAGGTTTCTGGTTATGAACACACTAGAACAGGGAAGGCAGGAAAGAGGTGAAAGGAGGAGAAAATGGGCCAAGCCTCTTGTGAGGGGCTGTATGAATGTTATGTCTGAATTCATGAATGCTAACACAACTCTACTACAATTACTGGCCCTATTTTTGATGAGGAAACTTAGACTCAGAGATATTAGGCAACTTGTCTGCAGCAGAAATTTCCTAAGGGGTTGAGCTTTGATTCCACCTGGGGCTCCTGACTGCAATCCCACTGTAATCACCTTCCTCCAAGGCCCTGGGTGATATTTCCTTCCAGCATCCAGTGTTATGCTGTTCTAGATATTAGGCTGCCATCTGCCTCTGGACTCTAGGTATTGGCCTAAACTCTACCTTTTGACACCAGACAAGTCAAGCACAACGGCCATTCCTGAAGAGATCGCACAGGAACTGCAGTAACTGCCAACTGAGTCCTCCTGTAGCAGTGCAGGGTACAGTGTGCATAATTTATTTCCTGGAAACATTGGGTAATTTCTGATCTGGATTGACCCAGAACAAGGCAAAAACAGCACATAGAGTCCTGGCCATCAGAAGCAGACACCATAGATTGAAAGCTGCACTTTGAAATACAATGATCATGTGAAACAGGTTTGTGAAGCCATGTTTCCTGTCTTCTCAGGAGCAGGGAGACAACATTTGATTTGTGTGTACCACAACATGATACAAATATCACTTGTGGGGCAAAGAACACAAGTAACATTTACAGATGTGACAGATGCTTCTTCTATGCAATGCAATCAGGAACAAACAAACAAACAAACAAACATCCACTGAGCCACATCCCAGCCCTTTTTATGTTTTATTTTGAGACAGATTAGTGATCTGTGATCAACAGACTAGTTATTGCATAAAGTAGAAGCTCAAACAGGTACAGTTAAATGCTGGCAGATACATTCAAGCTTTGGGTTTAAATGTATGTTTGCCCTAGGCCAGAGTCAACCTGCCTGGGAGCCAGGACAAATATATGTGTACTTGTGTGTATGTTTGTGTGTGTGTGTGTTTGTGTGTGTGCATGTGTGTGCATGTGTGTGCATGCATGCTTGGAAAAAAAAAAGAAAAGAAAGGAAACTTTGGAAAACCTCAATCCAGGACAAAATATTGACCTGGTTTACAAAACAGTCTTAGAAGTTAAAATCAAACTTACAACAGTATAACAAAAAAGGTATGTTTTAGGGATATATTTTGACACAACAAAGTTTTTTGGGTTTTGCTACCATAGCTAGTGTTTCTCTTGGTTGCTGTTGCCACGTGGTCTTATTTACCTTCACCTCCTACCATTTCCCTCATTCAGATTGCAGCACCTCTGTCTCAAGGGCAGACATACACAGCAAGCAGGAGGAAGAAAAGATTCTGAGTATTAAAAGCAGAGACCTTGAGTTGTCAGAGGTACGGGTTATCGCATGTTGGAGCCTTCAACTAAATGGATTTTGGCACAAGTCAGATATCCAAGATGGTATGGATTAGAGATGGAGAGCCAGACCCCACAGAGAGCAGTAGAGGTGGCTGGGGTTAGGGGTAAAAGAGGGTCAAATATCTGAATCTGTTCTCAGAAAGCTGCACCACCTAGCTCCTACCCCTCACCTTGGTGGTACTCCAGGGAGAGAATAAAAAGCATTGTATCTAGCTGTGAATTTGAAAGGAGGGGGAATGGACCCTATGTCGTGTTCATAAGTATAGCTCCAGGAAAAGAGCAGGACCACAGAGCAAAGTGTGCAACTACAAATCAAATGACCCCAGATAGCTGGGCAGGAGGCCCTGAACCAGCAGCAGTTTCCCATGAGGGACATGCCCTCATGAAGAGGGCAAGGAACCTGGCCTGAGAAGGAAACTCTTAGGGTTACCACCTCAGAGCTGCAATTTCACCACACCATGTTGTGGAACCCACTCAAACGCAGCCAAACACAATGGGGAACTATTTTCTTAAAGGTTCTGCAATTTTATCAAAAAGCTGATGATGAGTTTTACGGTCTTAAATATTTAGAAATCCTAATTTGATTATTTAGAGAGTTGTTCACTTCTCAAAAATCAGAGTCAATGCTTAGAATTAGGGTTACCATGAGTGTGTCTCCTGGTCCCAGTCTGCTTCACCGGCTCCCCTACTGGGTTCCTATTTACTCTCACCCCAGGTTCAGCTGCCTAGTTCTGGTGAAGGAAGGCTGCTGAGAACAAGTTCCAAACTCTGTGGTTCCATCAGACGCCAGCCACATGCCTTCTAGTCCTACTCTCATCTGGGCTAAAGCCTTCCTGTTAACCACACGCACCTGGATCATAGAAACCAGAGTTTCTCTTTTGATGACAGGCTCTCACAGCCCTTGCCCCAGGACTCAAGTCACAAAACAGAAGCCTGCCTTCACTATGCAGAAGCCCCCACCTCTTGTGAGACAGTGCAATCCTAGGGCCTGGCCAGCCCCAAACCCAACACACAACCCACTTCTTAGTGAGACCTGCCTCATGGGCTCAGCGACTATGTTCGGACTGTCTTGTAGGCCTCACCACCCCTGTGTGTGGCAGGATCAGGTCACTGATTGGACTCTACTCAAGTAACCAGCCCTGCATTGACCTAACAGACAAAAATAATGTTGGGTCCTTGTCTTCAGAGATCAGTAATACTACTGAGCACAACTGACCCAGTCTTTGCTTAACCTGGGCTGTGCTATCCATGTTGTAGTCACAGTTGTTTCATTGAAAAAAAAATATTCTCATACATGTCTATTCCCCATGCTGATCTGTTCCTGGTAAAGCTCACATCTGATAAACTCCTGTTCACCACCGATAACATTAAAAGGAGTCCTCCTCTGGGAAGCCATCTTTGACCCTAACATGGAAGAGCTGGGGCCTGGCCCTCCATGAAGGCTTCACCTGGGCTTGTATCTATGTCTCCCATGACCCTCAGACAGTGTAGGGAATGTTGCTAAGTTAAGAAACAAGACAAAATCAACACTCAAGCCTGCGCTTATGTGAACTGAGCAGCCAGCAGAGGAAGATGCAGCCACTCTTGGACTTACCATGTGGCACATGAAGATTTCCCACTGAAATCCAAGCCTTGAGTCCTCTAGTGTGGCCCACAAAGACTCAGCGGGACTCTGGCCTGCCCTCCTTACAGCACAGGTACCCACCATTCCAACAAAGAGTCTGCTCAGCACCTCAGGGCACCTACTGTGTTGGACGCAAAGGATACTGTTCCTCCCAACTGGCAGTGAAAATAAAGACATTTCATTCATTTATTCTACTCCTGAGGCCAGTCCTTTGACATTGCAGGGAGAAAGGTGAGAAAGGGATGATATCCGGGGTTTAAGGGAGAATAACCAAGGTGAGCATGCTGGACCTGGCCTCCACATGCAATCTCTCAGCTGATGGTGAAGTTCCTTCTCATTTATTCATTCATGCAACTTTCATAGCTGTTACACTGACTCTGCTTACAAAAAAACTATGCTTTAAAATATATCTAAGAAATACATCCTCAAACCTGAAGCACAACAATCAAGAACAGACAAGATTGGGAATACTTTTTTCAATGAAACAACCACGTCCACAACATGAATAGTACAGCCTTGGTCAAGATATGAACTCAGTGGTAATTAAAACAGAATGGCTCCTAATTAGTTAGACCCTTGTTGTCCTTAGTAATCATTTATGTCTACATCATATGTCCATAAGCAGCAGGGACTGTACAATAAATATTGACTCTATTTCTGAACAATGAAGTAGATGTGGGTAATGTAGGATGAAATGATTCTTAAATATAAAATGAGACTTATAAAGTGAATACCATTTAACTGAAGTACTTTAAACATAAATTAAGTACCTGTATATGACCTAACCACTTCCTGGAGAAACGAACACCCCCCCATCTTAAATGTACCTCAACTTTGCCAGAGTAGGGACCATGCCTCCATCACCCTCCAACACATGAATCCCCATAGGATGGTAAGTGGTTGAGATTTGGGGACTAATAATTTTATGTAAGTAATATAAAATAATTTTTATATTTTGTCACATATAGGTAACATTAAGGAACTCAGGTGCAATTAAGCAGCCATCAGTAGGAAATGTTTCCTTGGTTAATAACTGTGATTATAATAATTTTAACCATGAGAGCCAGGTTCTGAAATATTGCAGAGAGCTGGGTAAATTTTTATCTATTCTTATCTATGTCTCAAATCTCTTCGCATTGTGCGAAGTAGGAAGTCTTTTCCAGGACTTCTTTCTGCTCTTTTCTGTCTGTTCAGCAGCATTCCCTAATTACCCATCAGAATACCTACCCACTTTGGAATGC